AGACTGACTGCTGAAAACTCGAGTGAGAAATCCCTATCTGCTGCTCCGGTGACTCTCAAGCTATCAATTCCATAATAACACTTAATCAAAATCTGCTAATCCTCCATAGGGTAAAATGACCATTTTACCCCTGGTCAAAGTCAAAGACAAGGTCAACTCCCAGTCAACCCAACTCGTCGAGTTATCTCCCAACTCGACGAGTCCATGAAATGCTTAAACTCGTGGTCAACTGAGTCAACTCGTCGAGTCCCTTAACAGACTCGTCGAGTTCTTTCTGTCATAATAATCGGGACAGCAAGCTTCAACTCGTCGAGTCCTTCCCTGGACTCGCCGAGTTCCCCTGTCTGATTGAGCCATCTCAATGGATTAAGCTCCTACTATTCAGATCTATGTTCCAAACTTCATCTACATACTGGGAATACACTCTTAAGGGTAAAGTTTCCAACTTTACCCGTCCTTAGTCCTTCCTAATGGGTTTAACCCAAACCCTACTTCTTTAAGACATAAATCTTGGTCCACAAGCCATACTACCCTAAACCAAGGCACAATATACTAGATCTAGGCTCTTATCATCTGTGGGACACGTAAAGTCCCGAGCTTTCCTCCCATGCATAGTCTTTTAGGGCTAAAAAGGCCATGTTCTTGCATATAAGCTTGCATGGGGCCTCCATGGTCATAAAGTTTGCACCTTTATGCCATGTAACCATTCCTAGACCCCAGATCTGAGATGTACATCACTTGGGACGTCCCAATCCCAAGGGCTAAGGTTCTTGAACCAAATCCTTCATAAAATGAAAACAAATAGATCTAAGAGAAGGAGGATCAAGTTAGGGACTTGATTACCAGAAAATGTAGTAAATGGAGTGTAGTTCCTGGATCTACTTCTCCCCCTTTGAGCCTTCTATCCTCTTCTTCTTCCACAAGCTTCAAAAGGTACAAATAACTCTCAAAATGGCAAGAAATAGCTCAAAATCACTCAAGGTGGATTAGGGTTTCGAGATTAGGGTTTGGAGGTGATAGAGGCTGGGGTGGAGGCCAGATATGATGTTTAAATAGGGTGCAAACCCTAAAGATTAGGGTTTCCTCCTGATGGACCTACTCGTCGAGTCAAGGCTTCGACTCGTCGAGTAGACCTCTTAAACCCCGCATCCAAGCTGGAATCTACCCGACAAGTTAGGGTTACCAACTCGTCGAGTAGCTCTTACAAAATAAATACTTAATAGATTAAATGCGTACCAGGAACGGGGCGTTACAATTCTCCCTCACTTGTTTTAGACTTCGTCCTCGAAGTCTGATGCATCTGAAAACAACTATGGGTAGTGCTCCCTCATCTCCTCCTCGGGCTCCCATGTCCACTCTGAACCCTTACGGTGCTGCCACTGCACCTTAACTAATTCAACCCTCTTGTTCCTTAGCTCTTTCGTCTTGCGATCTAGAATCGCCACTGGTCTCTCAATGTAGTTCAGGATGTCATCAACCTGAATATCCTCAAGGGGTACCACTGCTGAATCATCCACCAAGCACTTCCGTAGCTGGGAAACATGGAAAGTGATGTGGATCTGGCTGAGCTCGGCGGGAAGATCCAATATGTACGCTACCTTGCCCACCCGGGCTATGACTCGGAAGGGGCCGATATATCTGGGGCCTAGCTTGCCCCGTTTCCAGAATCGTATGACACCCTTCCAGGGCGACACCTTCAGGAGAACTATGTTGCCCTCCCGAAACTCCAAGTCTGAACGTCGCTTGTCGGCGTAACTCTTTTGCCGACTCTGAGCGGTCTGGAGCCTGCTCTGAACCTGCTGGATCCGCTCGGTGGTCTTGAGTACTACCTCCGTACTCCCCATGACCCTCAGACCGACCTCACCCCAACATTCGAGTTTCGGGCCGTACACTGCTATGCCAAATCTTAGAAAATTCACAACTTCCTCATACGAAGTCAGATTTGGGCGTTCTTTTTATGCACGCTCTCTGTTTAACGTATACTACAACTTTTGTTTAGATCACTAAGGCCAAAAAGTCCTCTGTCATAAATTCACTATTTACGTCTCCCGGTGCCGTGCCGGTTTTGCCGTAAAACTTCGACGAGCCATAACTTCTTCGTTATAACTCGGATTTCGGCGTTCTTTATATGTACGGAACCCTTGTAACATATATTACCACTTGGTTAAGATTAATCCTTATAAATAATATTCCATCAATAACTCATTTTTGATGTTTCTTGTCTATAAATTGAGTAGCCCGAATGTGCGGGCGTTACATCTGTACCTCTAAACACATCACCTCGATCACACATTAAAATAATTTTCGACACATAGCCACTTGGTTTTGACTTTGTTTCTTTTAATAACAACCACATACCCAAGAGACCATGCCACATTCTGCACTCACTCCATTAAATTTTCATGATTACTAAACACATAACAGATGAAAAAAATCAAAATATAAATTTTGGTAAGCCTTACGAACATATAACATCCAAAAAAAAATATATTAAAGTTATCAATAAAAGAATACCTAGTCAGTATTTAAACCGTCTATTGTCTATATAAGGTTTTGGACATGTATAAAATGGTAAAGGCTTTTGGTTCGATAAAAATCTTCTTATCGTGTTTTGATGAATGGAGAAAGCCTTTGCTTTGTATTCTGATGCCCTTCATTTCATTTTATAATCAATTGATACCCATCCGTGAGAATATTAGTGAGTTATATTTATTTGTTTTTAAGCCTATATGTTTATTTGTTTTTTTATGAAAAAAGTTACTGATCGAGAAAAAAAAACCTATAGGGGTCATGTGTTTCTTTGCCTTTTTAAGAAAATACTTAGTCGACATATATGAAAAATAATTGGTTCGACCAACAGAATAAATTGTCATTCATTAGACACTACATAATATTCTTTTTATTTTTTTAAGAAAATAATAATAATAATAATAATAATAATAATATTTAAAATTATAAAGAAACACAATAAAAAGACAAAATATTAAAAAAAAAAGAAGTCAAAACCCATTTTGATGTGATGAATATTATAAGGTAATTAAAGGTAATTAATAATTTTGAGGTACAATTAGTAAGGGATACCTATAGTTGCACCCGTAAATCCTTAAAATAATAAGTTTTTCTTGTTTTTTTGTAGGTTTGCAAAAAAGTTACTATTGTTATTATTATTATTATTTTGAAAAAATAGTCAACTTGAGGACTTTTTTTAATTTAACCCATATTTTTTAGGATAAATAGCACAAAAAACACAAAGTTTACACCAAAATTCTAATTTGACACTGTTAGAGCTGCAAATGAACCGAACGAACACGAACATGGCTTGTTCATATTCGTTCGTTTAAATTAGCCGAACAAATGAACGAACACGAACGGATAAACGAACGAGTTTTCTTGTTCATATTCGTTCGTTTAACAAATTGAATTGTTCATGTTCGTTCGTTTATCGTTCGTTTATGTTCATGAACATGCTAAACGAACATAAACGAACGAACATAAATGAACAAAGATAAATAAACATAATTTGAACATAAATGAACATATAATATAGTAATTTAATCAAATACAATTAAACATATATGAACGAACTTAAACAAATGTAAACAAACAACATAAATGAACGTTCACGAACACAATTGAACGAAAGAGACCATTGTTCATGTTCGTTCGTTTAACTAAACGAACGAGAATTTGTGTTCATGTTCGTTCATTTATTAAATAAACTAACATAAGCGAACTTCCCGCCGAACGGTTCATGAACAGTTCGCTGAACGTTCAGTTCGTTTACAGCCCTAGACACTGTGTTATTTTTTGTCTCAAATTTGACGCTGTGTTTTCCAATTTGTTACAATTTCGACCATTTGACCGGTCAACCAGGTTACATGCTGACGTGGCATGATGACATGTCAGTTTTGATGACGTGGCATGCTGACATGATATGTTGACATGTCAAAATTGAAAATTTTTTCCACAAAAAACATTAACTTTTCACTTTTTTCGATTTTGACACTGAGTTTAATTTTTTCTTTCAATATTGACACTATGTTTTTTTGTTCAAAATCGAACATTATTTTTTCCAATTTTGTTCAGTGTTGACAATTTTCTACTTGAAACCATATAAATATTTTTTTAATTCATTTAAACCGTATAAATACATTTTTTTCAATTAAAAACCATAGTTTTGTATAAATACAAGGTTTTTTTTTTCTTTTTTTTACATTCAAACCGTAATTTTATGTATACATCTGTATTAGTTATATAAAAACTGTATTTTATATTAAATACGCAACTTTAAAATGAGTTTGGAGGTTTGAAGGCGTATAGTCAATCAAAACCCGGATGTCAAATTTGCAAGAACTTTTTACATCTTATTAGAAGCTTATGGTTAGTTTGATTCTTATGATATAACTAAGGCATATTTATACATTACGCTTTGAATGTAAAAAAAACACCTTGTATTTAAATAAAAATGTGGTTTTTAAACGAAAAAAATAAATTTATACGGATTAAAATATAATAAAAAAATATATTTATACGGTTTCAAATGAAAAATGGTCAAAATTAAACAAAAATTGATAAATAATGTTCGATTTGGAACAAAAAAACATAGTGTCAAAATTGAAAGAAAAAATTAAACTAAATGTCAAAATCGAAAAAAGTGAAAACTTAATATTTTTTGTGGAAAAAAATTTCAATTTAGACACGTCAACATATCATCTCAGCATGCCACGTCATCAAAACTGACATGTCATCATGCCACGTCAGCATGTAACCTGGTTGACCGGTCAAGTGGTCAGAATTGTAACAAATTGGAAAACACAGTGTTAAATTTGAGACAAAAAATAACATAGTGTCAAATTAGAATTTTGATGTAAACTTTGTGTTTTTTTTTGTGATATTTACCCTATTTTTTAATAGAAAGTAAAAACGACCCAAATATACGATTTTTACGATTTTTCTTCACAGCCAATTTTTCCACAAAGCCAAAACCCTCTCCCGGGTTATTTCACACAAGGCGCTCCAACTTTGATTTTAACCGGTAAACCATCCTTTTCAGGCTTCCACAGACGGAAGAGCAAAGTCCTTCTAAAGTACGAAAAAATTTCTTGCATGAACTAGAGACATAATTAGGGCTTTAATACAGAGTTGATGTTCATAAATGTCGTCGATTCGGAGCACCTTATTGACTGTTTTTGTAATCCTCATACTGAAAAATTCAGAATCAACGCCGCCTGGAGCTTACAGAAGAGATCCAGGTCATCCTCAATGGCACCACAGTGCTTTTCAAGACGTTAAAGATAGTGTCCGATCTGATGTTCATCGTATGCTCCATTCTCGCGCCGAGGTAAATTTGATAGTATTAAATATTGCGATGGTACTTTCCATGCAATCGTCGCATTTCCAGTGAAGTGATTTTGAATAGTTCGATTTAGGCATTGTTCTAACTATTAATCATGATTACTAAGTATATGGCTAACAGATTGATTATGTGACAGTGTGAGATTATCAATCGCTCAATTTATCCATCTAAAATTCCCGTGCCTTCTTCAGTTTGTTTGATTTGTTAGATCACATTTTTCTGTGGATCAGCGAGTCAAATTGAAGTTTAGTGATGTAGTCAATCTCTCTTATTGCCTGTCAACAGAATTTGATGGTCAGCATGATCCTAATTGTATAGCAAAATCATAATTTGTTGGAGTGAATCTATGAAAACTATGAAAGTTGCCATTAAACTCAGGATTCAGGATATTATGCTATTCTGACACCCCATATCATTTGCAGTCACTTGTACTAGTTTTTGATTTTTTATGTCTCAGTTACTGTGCTGTTAACGCAGGTTCCATTCCAAGTCCCACTTGAAGTAAATGTTATCCTCATCGGTTTCAGTGGAGATGGAGGCTATAGATACACACTAGATTCTCAAAAATTGCAAGAGTTTCTTCAAGTTGGCTTCCCTACTCACAGGCCCTCATGTTTGGAGACAGGCGAGCCCCTTGATATTGAGCATCACATGGTGTTTAATGCAATTCCAGTAAGCTCTTTCTACATAGTTTCTTTTAGGGAGTCTAATCCACAGTCCCAGTCCACACTGGTTTACCTTGGAAATGTTTCTACTTTGGCAATCCATTCAGATTGTAAATGATATGTGCAGAAATTGATTTTTGTTTACTGTCACAGCAGCTCTTTAGGAGTAATTTCTCTTTAACTTGATTAAGATTCCATTTCAGAAGCTTTAGTAGGATCATCATCCCATTGCTTTCACATTATTTGGAATTCGGTTTATTTCAATGCTTTCCAAAGAAACACCTTGGAAATTGGTACCCATAATCATCTACCAATTTAGGCATTGTTTTCTTTTAACTTAAATGTCAAAAGGAAAGTAAATGAAGAATGGATTATTAATCTCTTTACTATCTTAGTCATATCCTGGCTCTCATCATTACACTTTTCTTTCATCTACTTGCTTACAGGTTGGACAGCCGGAAGTGATAGCATTAGAAAAGGCTCTGAAAGTAGCCATGGTTCCTGCTGGCACTGCCAGAGAGGTAAAGTCAAGTGTTTATTTTTGTTTTAATTTATAGTTATGCTCAATATTTGTATTTATATCGTATTTTCTTGTAGACTGATTTTGGAAGGGAAGTGCCTGTATTCGAGATTGATGCAACAGCTGTGGAGCCTGAATTTCAAAAGCTATATTCCTATCTGTTTTACTTTGAGAATATTGGATATTCTGCTGAAGAGATTGACAGACCAATGCCAACTGCAATTTTTTATTGTGAATTTTGATAAGGTATGATCTAACATCCCTAACCTTTCATTGATTGTTATCCACTATTTAGCTACCCTAATAATGGGTGACTCGTATCGTTTCATACTTCTTTTTTGGAACAAATACCATGTCTTTAAACTATGATATGAATCATGAATGTACAATATTTCTTAGAAGAGATGTCTTGGCTAGAAGCTTAACCCCTTAGGAGAAGGAAACCAATTAGTTGGGAAGGTGTCATCATCTGTGTCCTTTGTCACTATCTTATTTTTATTCATTTTTGTTGATCTGACCTATTTTACGCTGCTTGGTTCTTGTTTTACAGGTTAGAATGGATCCCAGGAATAAGGGTATTGATTTTGATAGTTTAATGTACCAAAAAATTGATGGGTTAACTAAAGAAGATATAAAGAAACAAGAGGGAGGTTACATGTATCGTTATCGTTATAATGGAGGAGGAGCATCTCAAGTTTGGCTTGGTTCTGGAAGGTACATTTTGCTCTAGTCTGATTTACTTTGGGCATGACATATATTTTAAGTCAATCTCTTTTTATTCACTTCAATGTCACAATTGTTTATCTAGATTAGAAATCACTGCTTTTTCTTGTAAAATACTAACCTATTTTACATCACAATTAAGGTAATTATTCTTTATTCCTTTAACTATTTACCATTTAGGGACCTCCCATCTCTTATCATAAAAATTCGTTTTATAATTGGGAACCCACCTCTTGTTTATAAATAATAACCTATTACTCTTCTTATTAACTTTTCAACCACTTTCAAATTAATCACTTTATTAATTGAATCTAACAAATAGACTACTCCCTCTTTATTAAATTAATGTCTATTAATTTAACTAACTTGACACTATTGCCCATGTAATTGTCCTAAAGTCAACTCTTGTTGACATTAACTACGAACTTAAAACACGACTAAGATTGCTAATTCTAGCATATGGTCATGCAAGTATGGTTTCATGGAAGAGTAAGAAACAAAATGTTAACCCCAGTCTAAGTGGAAAATCTGAATACATGGCTATGGCTAGATCACTTGTGAACTGATATCTGATATGGCTGCATAATTTGCTAGATGAAACTGGGTTGCTCAATCTTAATCTATGAACTTATGGTGTGATCATGAGGTGGCTATTCATATTGCAAACAATCCTGTTTTACATGAAAGAATTAAAAACATCAAAGTAGACTAGTTAGGAGCTTAACATAGAGATATACAATTCCATGAGTTAAAGTTGATCACTTGCCTTGATTTTTCATAGAAAAGCATGCATTTGTATACTTTTATTATTCTAGTACCTACTTTTACTTTCTCAATTAAGTTGAATTTACATTTGCATCTCCTTTCATCTTTATACTCAGGTTTGTAGTAGTTGACATCTCAGCAGGCCCATGCACATATGGGAAACTTGAAACAGAAGAAGGTAGTGTTAGTTCAAAAACCCTACCCCGGTTAAGAAATGTCATGTTTCCACAAAGCCCCACTGATCAATTCATCTCACATGACAACTTTGTGGGTCAACTTGCTGCTTTGATCGGGATCATAGTTGAGCATCTTGTTGCTCCAGATGTCAGGTGGATATCAGACAACTTTTACTTTCACTTTTTAATTATGAATAAAGACAAATCTATCCCCAAGGCTATTTTTTTTTTGGCAAATCTTAAGCCAACGTGGTTAGATTTGTCTTCTTCTCTATAATTCTAGATGTTAATACTTGTATACACCTTCATAATATTTCAGGTTTGAAACTGTAGATCTAGCAATGAGGTTGCTTATACCAATAATCGTCCTACAAAATCACAACCGTTATAATATAATGGAAAAAGGCCACAACTACAGTATAGACATTGAAGCCATTGAGTACGAGGTGTGTCTTTCCTTCTTCCTCTGAAAGATTGAGATTTTCAACGAATTTAACTCATGCTCTATGTTTTATTTTCCATTATTTTTTAAAGGTTAGGAACATGGTACACAACGGAGAAGAAGTAGTGATTGTAGGAGGTTCACATTTATTACATCTCCATGAGAAATTAGCAATTGCTGTTTCAAAAGCCATGCGTGGTCATTCCCTACAAGAAACTAAAAAAGATGGACGCTTTCATGTCCATACAAAGATGTATCTTGATGGTGCCATTCTTAAAGAGGTCCCAAATCCCAATTCTACATTGCTGTTTTCTTAATTATAAATACATTTCTTGAATCTTAAAATTATTATTTTTTTAGGAAATGGAACGTTCTGCTGATGTACTTGCTGCTGGATTGCTTGAAGTCTCTGACCCTTCGCTTTCTGATACATTTTTCCAACACCAGGTTAGTAGTCTAAATTTAGTTAAATTACAGTTATACCCTTTTTCGGAATTAACCTGGTTTAATTTTTTTACAGCAATGGATGGATGAGAATGATGAGACAGATGAACCCACTGATTCATATTTGAAGCACAAACCTTTTCAGTCTTATAACCCAAACACATGGGGACAAAACACTAAAAATGTCAAAAAGAAACAAGGAGACATACATCGGACTTATGGAACGAGAGTTGTCCCAGTGTGAGTAAAGTTGAATCACTTTTAATGTCTATGCCATTAATTACATTTTTGGTCCCTGAATATAGCTAATATTTGCAATTTTGGTCCTTATTTGAGTTTCTTGTAATGTTGTTGGTCTCTGTTCCATGTAAAATGATTATTTTTGGTCCCTGAGTATAGCTGATTTTTACAATTTTCTACCAAGATTGAAGTCATTATACTTGGAATAGGGACCAAAAACGTTACAAAAAACCTCAAAAAAGGACCAAAATTACAAGAAAGAAACTTTTTAGGAGCAGAATTGAAAAAGTCAGCTATAGTCAAAGACCAAAAATGTAATTAACTCAAAATCAAATTTGCAGGTTTGTTTTATCATTAGCTGATGTGGATCCACATCTTATGATGGAAGACGAAAGCCTATTGTGGACAAGTAACGATGTTGTCATTGTACTTCAGCATCAAACTGACAAGATACCTTTAAGGTAATAATCATATAACACAAATTAATATTTACCATATTAAGAAAATTTTTCATTTTTTTTTTTTTTAAACTGTTTGTATCTTCAATGACAGTTATGTATCAGAAACAGAGAGAATACATGTAATTCCATCACAAGTAGAACGCCATATAATTGCTGGACTTGCTTCAGTAGTAGGTGGATTAAGTGCTCCATACGAAAGAGTTTCTCATATTCACGAAAGACCTGTTGTAAATTGGCTCCTTGCAGCTGGTTGTCATCCATTTGGACCATTTTCCAATGTCTCCAAACTTAGTCAACTCCTTCAAGATGTCACATTGGTAATAACTAATAACTAATAACTAATAATAATAAACTTATAAACTCTCATTAACTAAACTATGATTTCTCATTTCTTACCCTTGTGTTTGGTGACAGAGAAATACAATATATGCACGTGTAGATTCCGCCCTTCGTAGGATTCGAGAGATGTCCGAGGTCAATATGGTCATGTTACTTGTTTCTGATTCTCCAAATTATTTATTATTTAAAAATTTGAATTTGTTGTATATATATAGTCTGTGGAAGCTTTTGCTGGAAAGTATCTGAGAACCCCTTTAGGTGAACCAGTGAAGGGTAAAATGAACAAGACAAGCACTGAATTATGGGTCGAAAAATTCTACAAAAAAGAAACAAATCTACCTGAACCTTTTCCTCATGAGCTAGTCGAACGACTCGAGACATATTTAGATGTGAGTTTTTCTTACAATAATATCTACAACAACAAAATTGCAGAGAATAGCAATCTACTTAATGTTTCTTTACTCATAATAGCAATGTAATGTACAAAGCATAAAGTACGTTGCTATGAATGAATTTGTTGTTGGAATGAATGATGATAACAGAGCCTTGAGGAACAGCTTGTGGATTTATCTTCACTGTTGTATGATCATCGTCTACATGATGCGTACATGAACAGTACTGATATTCTAGAAAATTCCATTTTCACACAACAGTAAGTTCTAGAATATGTTTCTTGTTGGTTATGTTTATCTGTTTTTGATGGTTGGTTATTAATTTATTAAATTATTATTTTTTATGAAGGTATGTTGAACATGTGCTGGAGAGTGAAAAGGAACGGATGAGATGTTGTAATATCGAGTATAATCGAACGCCGCAGCCTTCTCAAAGTCTGTTTTATGCGGCAATCCTATTTGCAGGTTTCTTTGCGTATTTTGTTGTCATTTACTTTTCATCTCCTATCGGGTGATTACTGTAAGTAATTAACATTTAGCAAACACCCTAATTCTTAATTTCACCAGAAACAATGATTATCGTATAAATACAATTTTTGATTTTTTATATGTTTTGTCGCGTAGTGCCTATGTTTTTGTCGTGTCTATCTCTCTACCTCTGGAAGTTTGGAATCTAGAAGATTGCCACTTGTCAAGAGGCGGGTCTACTGCCAAAAACGATGTAAGTAATATGCAAACCCTAAAAAGTTAAAAACAATGAAAATTCAAAAAACTGCATCAAAAATTTTAATTGATGAAATAAATAGATCTTGTAAACTAACATCAAAAGATTATAATGATACTAACATTGAATTCATGTGTATATGTTTGTGGAGAAATTTTACTAATACAGTGATTAATACACTTTTAAGATTACTTTATGTTGTGTGGATGTAATACGGAATAAATTTCAATGATTTTTTTTGTTACATATGATGGGCTAACATCATGCCTATCTGTTATTTTTATCAACTAAAAAGTTTGATTCTTTTTTTGTGGTTATAGTGAATTTTCTCTTTTCTTTTTTTATATCATTTGTATACTTAAGATATCATTGATGAATGACAAGAATGTAAAAGACAAATGAAATGTACAATAATAAAATAAAACTGAACCTTTCTTTAGCCTAAGAATTGATGTTATGATAATGACATAATTGTTTTTGCGTCTTTTACACCTATATTGCCACCTCAGTGTTAACATGTAACCTTAGATATTGATGTCGTGTTCTCAATGCATCGTATTTGTTAGTTAGTGGATGAATGAATGATGTTTTTCAGTCACACCAATGATGATTCATGCCCTTTTTTCTTCTAAACACTAAAACCCAAATCTTATTTTATAAAAAAATATTAAATAAAAAATAATTATTCTATAATAAAGTTAGTAATAAAAAAATAATTATTTTATAATAAAATTAGGAATGATTAGGTTATAATGAAAGTTAGTCAAATGATAATAATTACCATCATTAACCTAAAAACTTATAAAGTAGACCTAATATTATAGGTTGGTGTGTCCAAAGTAGGACCATATGTGTTTTTTTAAGCTTTTTACAAGAATTTAGCAAAAGTTAATAGATTTTCACCAATAACCACCATTTAAGAGGGACACTACAAAATGAGCATGGTGGCTCAAAATGTAATCGGCTTTTCTTAACTTTTTAATTTCTCAGTACCCCATACGACATGGGTACAATATTAGTTCATTCCGTAATGTGGTATTCATTTTGTAGGGTCCACAGTCCACTATCAAATGAAAAAATTGAAAAAAACAGTGACGTTTTTGAGCCACTTTGCTCCTTTTATACTTTTTTTTTTTGGAAAACGACAAATATATTAAAAAGCACGCCTACATCAAGATGATGCGGACAGTAAATTACAACGAGAATAAAAAAGGGAAGAAAGAAAGATTACAAACATAGAAACGGACATAAGTTCCAAATTCTCCAATCAATGTTATTATATTCCCCCCTGTGCTTGCACCAAATGAAAGATAGCAATTTCACCCTTTCCACTGTGTATGTCGGAACAACAGGAATATTATTGAATACCCTATTGTTCCTATCAATCCATATGCACCACAAAGCTCCACAAAGAATTACATTCAAGAGACTTCTCCTTTTTTTGCATTTGCTCCATCTCGAAATAAATAGTAACATGTCTCTTACTGAATTAAAGTTATCACACTTGATTTCACACCAGTTGAGGATTTCATTCATCACGGTCTTCGCCGATTGACAAGTGATCAACATATGATCACTAGTCTCCTCCTCTTGCTTACATGATATACACATAGTAGAGGGAATAGTAATCCCCCTGGATTTAAGTTCGACTGCAGAAGGGATTCTGCCCTGTTTCGCTCTCCACATGAAACAGAGAACTTTGAATGGGATCATTTTGTTCCAGTCAAAAGGTCCATCGCATACAATATGGCCCGCAAGTTCAAAGCGATCTCTTATCAAACTCACAGAGAATCTATTATTAATAACAAATTCCGATGCCCAACATCTCCTATCCGAGTTCCATGATACAATCACCTTAGGATCAATGTTAACTTTCATCATCAAAGGCCTGATTTTTTTGTTATATTTTTCCATACTCCATTACTGGTACTACTAGCAAAGCAAGACCAATGTCTTCCATCTAAATTGTGAACACCCCTAATGACTTTAGCCCACAATGCACTACTATCTGATTTCAATCGCCACAACCATTTTGCTAATAAAGAAATGTTCAAGGAATATATCGACCCTAACCCGATACCACCCACTATTTTAGGTGCAATAATCTTGTCCCAGCCAACCCAACATATGCTTTTTTTGTTGTATTCCTTACTCCAGATGAAAGTTCTTATTTTTTCGAGAGTATCAATGACACCTTTCGGGACCCTAAAAATAGACATAAAAAAAGTTGGCAGATGACCCAGGACCGCCTTTGCTAGAGTTACTCTCCCACCAAAGCTAAGCGATTTCGCTTTCCAAGAAGAAAGCTTGGAGTGAAACTTTTCAATTATCGGTCTCCATGCTTTTTTTCAAATTCATATTGTCCCCCACTGGGATACCAAGATAGGTGAACGGGAGAGAGGATGGTTCACATCCAAGAGGGGCTGACCAATGCAAAACTTCAAGAGACGGAGCACCAACCCAAAATACCTTGGATTTGTTAAAATTCACCTTCAGTCCGGACACGATATGGAAACACCTCAATATTCGAGCCAGATTAGCGATGTTACGCCTCGACCATTCGCCAATGAAAAGTGCATCATCTGCATAAAATAGATGAGATAAGCAGATGTTAGAGTTAGGGAATCTTATCCCTTCAAAAACCCCTTTTTCATCCGCCGTCTTCATTGCCATATTTAACCCTTCCATCGCAATAATAAAGAGGAAGGGAGAGAGTGGGTCGCCTTGTCGAACCCCTTTCGTCATAGGGAATTCGATTGTTGGGCTCCCATTGATTATTACTGAAGCTTTCGCTGATTCCAAACATCCCCTAATCCAAAATCTCCATTTGGTTCCAAATTTCATCTGTTCCATAATTGAGTCTAAGTAGGCCCAATTTACTGAATCAAATGCTTTATTGAAATCAGCCTTAAACAGGGGCATCCTCCTACGTTTCGCTTTTGCCCAATAACACAGTTCATTTACAATCAACGGGCCTTCAAGTATGTTCCTCCCCTCAACATAAGCCGATTGTTCTTCCCCTACAACCCCCCCGATGACTCGCTTTAGTCTTAGGGCTAACAGCTTTGCAATAATTTTATACAAAGCTCCAATCAGACTTATGGGTCTAAAGTCACAGAAGTGAATTGGATCTTTTGTTTTTGCTGCCAGAGAAATAAATGATGAATTACAACCATCCGAGATTTTACCCCCTGCTTCAAAGTGTTTTACAAACCCCAGTATATCATCTTTTAGAAGGTCCCAATATTTTTGAAGAACTTGAACGTGAAACCGTCTGGCCCTGGCGACTTGTCCCCCCACACGACCAAATTGCATTCCTTATTTCATCCAGTGAAAATTCTCCTTCAAGAAATCTCGCATCACAATCAGAGAGAATACGAAAGCTAGGATTATGAAACCGGGGTCTGTTAATCCACACTTCATGGAATTTCTCTTTAAAAAACTTAGCAGCCGCCGTCTTAATCTCCGTTGGCTCCGTAGTCCACCTGCCATTTACCATGATTCCATGAATATGGTTCTTCCTGTTTCTATTTTTAACATACCCATGGAAAAAACGCGAATTTCATCACCCTCCACTTCCATTTTAGCCTACCTAGCCTTTGCTTTAAATCCAATGCCATGATTCTAGCACATTCAACAATCTTAATACCTCCTTTAACTCTTTCTTCTATTTCTGCTTCTGATAAGTGCCTGAATTCTGCCACCATTTCAATTTCAGCCATTCTTTTTTTCATATCGACCATCTTCTTATTTTCCTCCCTCACTGTTTTAAATTTCCAACTTTTAATGGCTTTCTTCAAATGTTTTAATTTATTCATAAACATCATATCAGGGTAACCATAGCCCACAAATTCCGAGCATGCATTCCTAACATTCTCATCAAACCCGTCTTGCGTCATCCATGAATTAAATAATTTGAAAGGAGGGGGGCCAAAGTCATCACAACGAGCTCTTAGGATAATTGGTGAGTGATCAGAGAGATCTCTCTCCATTGCAAAGCAAGAAGCAAGAGGAAATATTGATAAAAAACTGCTACACACCAAGAATCTATCAAGCTTACTGAGTTTAGCTCCCTGAGTTTTAAAGTAGGTAAATCTTTGACCTCCCATCTTCAAATCAGTGAGTTCGGCCGAACGTATGAAATGGTTGAAGTCATTCGCGCTACGAGTACAAAAGATCGAATTTATTCTCTCCTCCGGCCGTAGCACCACATTAAAATCGCCCATAAAAATCCAAGTGGCTGATTTGGAGTTTTTCACTGCTAGCAGTTCATCCCAGACCTTTAGTTTATCTATCTCCGATCTAGGTCCATACACGTTTACGAATCCAGTTAACCCATTTATTCCAGCAAAATTCCCCAAGACCACTATGAAGTATCTAGACTTAATGGTCTCAATCACCGAAAACCGATTGCTATCCCATATAGAGACAAGACCTCCAGATCGTCCTGTGGTAAATACCTACTCAAATCCATAGTCCACATCACCCCAACATCCGGCAACATTTAGAGTCGGAGAACACTCACCTAATTTTGATTCCTGAATCCCAATCATGCATAACCTGTGTTCATTCCTGAGTCTACATACCCAGTCAATTTTATGTCTCTCTCCCATACCTCGGATGTTTAGTGACATTATATTCATCGGAAAGTGTTATTCTCATCTGCTTCACCAAAAACTTCTTTAAGCATCGGATTCTCTTCATCCACATCAAAACCTAACATATTGCCAATTACCACCGTGTTTCTAATTTCCATCGACGGGGATGGTGAGTCAGTGTTGGAATCCGGGAGCAGGATCTGAGAAGGGATCGACATACAATTTAGGTCGATGTTTGGTTGAGGTGGGGGGAAATCTAACACGTCAACTGGGGTTCCTTCTGTGTTCCTTACCGTTCTCCTACGTTTATCATGTGCACTATCAAAATTGACGTCCGTTTGGTTTTCAATTAAGCCCAAGTTGTTTGGAAAAGGCCCAAAACATCCAGAAATATCTAGGTTATACGGGAGTCCATTAACCATTCTATTATTTGGCCCCACGTTGTTATTCTCCACATTATGGCTAAGAAGTGCTGCATGTACCACATCATTATTGCTCTCATTATTATTTTTTGATCTTTCATTATTATTTAAACTTTCCACTTCTCTCTGTGAATTCCCATGCTCCTCCATGCCTATGACTGACTTTTGGCAATCCCCACGAATGTCGTTTCCATTTCCCCGATCATCTTCATTAATTGCACCGTCAACCGGCGACGACATCACCTCCGGTGACCGGGAATCTATAGGTGGGTTTGATTCCGAGCTCCCCATACTGGATTCTTTGACTACGTCGACTTCCGAGATTCTGAACTCCCCTTCCTCTAGACCCACGTCATTATCATCCATCGGGACCGTATCGGATATATATTCCTCCTCATCATCTTCATCCGCGTCCTCGTCTTCTTCATCATCTGATGAGAAATTCTCCGTCTTGGATTTGAATGGGACCCAATCAAAATCGACTTCCGAAATTCTAATCTTTATTATTTTTCCATTAACTTCCACAAATGGTTCTCTGGATATAGATGAAGGATATTCAGTTAGGATCCCCACTTTACCAAAAGATAGGTTCACAGCAGATGGGTCTACCACAAACGAAACAATTACCCTACCCAATGACTCTGCAATCACTGTGAAGTTTTCTTCTGACCACAATTCCAGTGGGAGTCCCGAAATCTTAATCCACGCAATTCTATCAAAATTAGTTGTAGCTATGTCACCACTGTCCACTTTACTAAACCATTCCGTCCATTCATTCATGAAAGCATTCCTACTTGCTTCATTCATGAACCGAACCCCTATATTCAATCCTCCGAAGTATTTTATGTCACAATTGGATCCATCATTATTCTTAAAAGAATATGGGGCCTTTTCTAAATGATCAAAGCTATGGAGTTCTCCAATCAAGGTATGATTACATTTCAACCATCCCCGGAGTGGAGAGGCATCAAAATTCCAATCAAGCATTCCTACTTGCTCCTTTTATACTAGTGCCTATCTTTATTTTGGCACTCCTATGAAATGGGTGTTTGTCGGTAAATGGTCCTACTTTGTACACACCACTCTATTAAACACTAATCTAATATACCTAAGCTAATCATTATCATAATCATTACCATTAATAAATTATTACTTACATTGTTTTACGAAAAAATATTTTTTTTCTTTTTTCTCTCTCTTATATATATATATATATATATATATATATATATATATATATATATATATATATATATATATATATATATATAATATATATATATATATATATATATATTGCCGGACCACCGAAACCACCAAGCCGTCGTCGTTTTCAATATTTAACTAAATATTTCTTTTTTCTTTTTTTACATTTCAATAACGTTGCAATATAATATGTATTTAACTCAATATTTTTTCAAACTTTCATGTTAATATACTAAAATACTTTTACAATCATAGAATCATAAATAAAACTAAAAATAATATATATGCCATCGTCGTTTTGCCGGACCACCGAAACCACCAAGCCGTCGTGGTCAAACCACCGACTCACCGGACCACCAGGCGTTATGCCGCCCGTTGAACCATAATTGACGATTAAACGAAATGATGAAGATATTTTTCAAAAATTTCCAAAAGAAATATTCAATAAAAAGACCAAAAAAATAAAACAAAATCTACTTATATTTAATTTTAATTTTAATTTTATATTTAAAAATTACTATATATACTCAATTTGCATAGTTCATCAATCAAAAAAATATATAGTATTTTATTATTTCATTTCATTTCCATATATATTTTATCTAAATGTTACCACGTATACGAACAAAATAATTAAACTTGTGTTAGTTTTGTTTTGAATAATTTTTGAAATAATTCAATTATAAGGCCTTTTTATACATATTTTATTTTAGGTATATATAAATAAAATCAGAATTAAAATAAAACAAAATTTTAAAACTGAAAATAAAAATAAAAGTTAATCCAATAAAAATAGGATTGGGAAACCAAAATCAAGGAAGTGCTTATATATTTTTATTTTTTAAGTGTGTAAAAATCAAATTTAAAATGAAAAAACAAATCAAAATAAGGTGCACGTGATAATAATAAATGATAATAATAAAGAAAAAGATTTGATAACTTAGTTTGAAGATGACATAACAGTAAAAAAAACATGATTTTATTAAGTGACGGAAAAAAATGCAAATGGAAGTATTAATATTTAACTTTTCAAAAAAGTAAAAAAAAAAAAAAAAAAACAAGTTCTCTATTTTAAAAACTCAAAGAAATCATAAAAGAACAAAAGAAAAAATGAAAAAGAACAAAAAAGAGGCGTGGGTAAATGGGAGGCTGAAATACACAATTTTCAATATTTAACTTTTCAAAAAAATAGATTGGTGTGTGGTAGGTTTGTAGTAGATTGGTGTGTAGAAATAAATCCGTCGGTAAAAATGAAATAATTTTTGGTTAATTCTTGTCAAAATCTAAAAAAAGTGGCGTTTTTATCATTTAATCTCTAAATAATAATCAATTGACTTTGTGTATAAAATATTACTAGCATATCTAAATTGAACAACACTATATTAATATTTTAATTTTTGTAATTCTATAATTAATTAAGCGTGTTTAAGTTGGTTTTCTTTCAGAAAATGTTCCGTATAAATCCAATTATTTCTCTAAAA